TTTAGAAATTGCCACATTGTTTTCCACAGAGGTTGTACTAGTTTATACTCCCACCAACATTGTAGAAGTATTCTATTTTCCCTGTATCCTCCCCAGTATCTGTTGCTTTTTGAGTTATTAATAATGGCCATCCTAGCTAGAGTTAGGTATTATCTCAGTGTGGTTTTGATTTGCACTTCTCTGATGATTAGTGAGGCTGAGCATTTTTTCATGTATCTGTTGACTGCTCATATATCTTCTTTTGAGAAGTGTCTATTCATATCTTTGCCCACTTTTCTTTTTTTTTTGAGTTGGAGTCTCACTCTGTCACTCAGACTGGAGTACAGTGGCCGCTCCTAGCCACTGCTGCCTTGACCTGCTGGGCTCCAGCAATCCTTCCGCCTCAGTCTTCCAAGTAGCTGGAACTACAGGTGCGCGCTATCACACCTGGCTAATTTTTTTGATTTATTGTAGAGATGAGAGCTCACCAAGTTGCCCAGGCGGGTCTCGAACCCGCGGGCTCAGGCAATTCACTCACCTCAGCCTCCCAAGGTGCGGGATTACAGGCTGAGCCACCGAGCCCGGCTTTTGCCCACTTTTTGATGGGGCTATTTGCTTTTTTCCTTTTGGCATGTTTGATTCCCTTGTGGATCCTGGATATTAGGCCTTTGTCACATATACAGTTGGCAAACATTTTTTCCCATCCTGTGGGCTGCCTCCCCACTCTCTTGATGGTTTCTTTTACTTTGCAGAAACTTTTCAGTTGGATGAGGTCCTACTTGTCTGTCTTATATCGTATGCATTGGGCTTTTAGGATTTTGATCAGGAATTGGTTGCCTATTCCAACTTCTGTAGGGATGTCTCCTGCGTTTTCTAAGATTCTTATAGTTTGAGGTTTTACGTTTAGATATTTGATCCATTTCGAGTTAATTTTTGTGTATGGTGATAGGGGCCCTATTTCAATCTTCTGCATGTGGTCAGCCAGTTTTCCTAACACCATTTATTGAATAGGTTCTCTTCCTAGTAGTTGTTGGTGGAGGCTTTGTCGAAGATGAGTTGGTTGAGAAATTGAGGTTTTGCTTCCAGAATCTCTATCCTGTTCCATTGGTCTATATGCCTGTTCTTGTACCAATGAAGATGATTTCAACCTGTTTTCTGTGTGCCTTTATGTATAGCAGAGTCTAGAAATTGAAAAACTACATTTCCCAGACTCCTTTGCAACTATGTAATTTAAGTTTCACCAATCAGATACGGTCATATGAGACAAATTCAGAACTCTTTTAAGTGGAGAAAGAGGCATGGTGGAAAGCTTCTGTCTTGCATGTGCAGGTTACAACAGGTCCGGTATGATTCTGAAGCCAGTGGTTCCAGCAGTGGCTTTCTGATCCCCAGATTACATCTAAGGGCCTTCATTCTGGAGTCAGCTGCTGAGAGGGCAACTTCCTGATTTACTCACACAACTCCTTCCCGAAGGTGATGCCTTACCAGCAGGAGAACCCAGTTAATCCATGTCTGGTGTCTGCTGTATTCTGGACTCAGATCCTGCTTTCTTTCCTTCAACAGTGCTGTCCAGTGCAGGTGCCAACCTCACTTGCCCTGTCTCCTTTCCCCTTCCTATGGCCCTCCCTTAGGGTCACCTGAATTCCTGAACTGAATCACTGAACTGGGGTCTTGGTTACCTTCCTCCCAGAAGACACCTGGGCTTCTTATGCAAATTTCCCCTCTCCACAGACTTATGCAAATCTGACCATTTGCTTTTAAGCCTTGCCATCAAGCAATGCCATTTTGCGGGGGTGGGGAGCTGCTGATAACCCCAGGCCAAATGACCTAGGTAAACTAACTGCAATGGAGAGGGAGGGATTTCCAGGTAATTATAAAGGAAGCAAGTTGAGACAGAAGTTAGGAGATGTCCTCCAAAGTGGAAAGAATAATTCTTCAGGATCCTGAACCAAGCACCTACAGAGAAGCAAGATAAAGCATGAACTGTAGCACTGACCTGGGATGGGGTAGCCTATGACAAGCTGTGAGGTGAAGGGAGCTCCCTTCAGGCCTAGACAGAGTCCTTATGTGCATTGTAGGGGCTGTGCCCTGCACGCAGCCACCCAGAAGAGGGAATCCAGCAGGAGCTGAAATTCAGCCCATGTCCCCCTAGCCAAGCTGTGGGCTCCAGTATGGGGTTGCACACTCCTTGAGGAAGGGGCACTTTTTGAAACCCACTTTTAGGAGTCAAAGGGGCAGCCCTAGCTCTAGATGATCTGACAGAGATGAGAAGCTCAAAAGCTGCCTATGTCAATGCCATCTGACACCCAGGAGCGTATGCCCTCCCCTGCCCTCAAACCATTGAAGAGCACAGATGTGTGCAGAGCTGTTGGCCCAGCTCTCTCATGGCTCTGCATGAAACAGCAGTTTGACCTTTTATTACAAAACCACAAGAAACAGGCAAGGTGGCATTGACTTTGTTATTGCTTCCTCTGCCAAGTGTTTTCATGCCATAAACTGCATGTTATGAACTCTGCAATCATTCTTTGGACTTTGAAAATTACTTGGGAAAGAATACTTCATCTCAGGGGAGGATGTGGGGAGAGGAGAGGAGGAGGAAAAAAGGAGGAGGCAAAGTCCTCTTGGAACACAAACCGCCAGTTATCCTTCTGGAGTGACTAACTGCATTTGTTTCTTGTCCAGGGAACATGTTCAACAAGTATTAAACTGGATTAGGTTGTTTGTAGAAATGCTTTGAAGGTACCAGGCCCTCCTGCTGTAATAGCAACCCAGTCCATGTTTTCTACCATCCTGAACCATAACCAACAAGAACAGACAACAAGTCAGACCAGAAGAAGCTGCTTGGGCACTGAGGCCTTGCGCCTGCTGTTAACTGGGCACAATGTCTAGGAATGGGGGTGCAGAGAAGAAGGCTGTATTGGCAACAGCATGGGCACAGCCCCTGTGCATATCGGGGCAAGAAAAATGAACATGCACATAATATAAAACGGTAGGTAGAGAGTCAGCTTTAAGGAGTTTCAACCATAAATGTAAATCACCAAAACCACATAAAGAAAAGATTCAGGGCGGGAATGGCAAACACTGGACACTGCTAGGGAAGGAAGAGAGGGAGGAGGAATGGGGACACACAGCAACACATTGGGTATTGCTGGTCCACTATCAGGAGGAAAGAGGGCCCGCTGGAAGTCCAAACTTCACCTGTACACAAATTACTTATGTGGGAAATCCTCACATGTACCCCACAATTCTAAAATAAAAAATGTGAAATAAAATAAAAAGAAAAACACCGAAGCAAACTGCAACACCATGCTCAAGCCTGTTTCCTCTATCTGTAGCAAGTGTTTGGTACCTCGCTCACTATCCTTAGCATTCACCATTTTCATGCACACCGGCCCAACTTCCAACAGTCAGCAAGTGCAACTGTTTGCCCTGAGACTGTCTCTGGGCACCAGAGCAGCCCTCAAACAGTGCCCTTACTTCTCAGGCAGGGTTCCACCTTGTCACCCAGAGCTCTCCAGCAGGATTTAACTCCAGTTGCCCACAATGGCAACTCGCTTGACAACACCCTTAAGTGACTTCTCTTCCCTTCCTTGTCTCACTTCTCCACTACCCTGCTGGTGTTTCCTGAAATCACTACAGATCCTTCTCAGCTTATGGTGGAGTGATGTCCCAATAAACTTATGGTAGTTGAAAAGATCATAAGCCAAAAATGCATTTGATACACCTAACCTTCCAAACATCATAGCTTGGTCTAGCCTACCTCAAATAGTACTCAGAACATTTACATTAGCCTGCAGTTGGGCACGATCATCTAACACAAAACTTATTTTATAAGGCTGTTACAATAAGATGTTTATAATTTCTCATGCACTTTTGAAAACTGTATTGAAAGTGAAAAACAGAATGGTTTTGCACCATCACAAAGTCAAAAATCCCAAGGTGAACCATCTCAGGCCAAGGATTGTAATTGCACTGAAATTCTTATGTCAGTACCTACCTCTGGGGGAACCCAAGCTAAGACATCTTCCAACCTTCATTCATTTTAGTAAAATTTCTTCTCTTCCCTTGTTTAACAGGTTTAATTTTCCTCTAAATTGTTCATTCTGAAAGTCAACACGAAGTTGGGCTCTTCCATCCAAATGATGTGTTTGATATAAGGCATATTCAAGTTTGAAAAATTCTTTTGGGATTTTCAAGAACCTTTCTAATTCTTTGGTAGGCTGAAATTTATTGTATGAGATATTTGCTCTGGTACCTGAATCATAACCAATCTTGACAGGCTTTCATTTGGTAATTGTATTTTTTGATAAGTTATATGAATAGGGCCATATTTCAAACATAGTAGGGGAGTTTATAATGCAAACGAATTCTCTTGTGAATCCTTTTATAAGTCAAGTCCACATTTATGAATTCCCATATATTTTTTCTTAAAGTGAACTATAGCCATCTTGATATTTCACTGTTAAATTTTATATTGGAATGATACTTCACTTGTAGGCCCTCCCCACTTTTATAAAATGCTATTTCTTTTTAAAATTAAAATAATTTTAGTCCGGGCATGGTGGCTCATGCCTGTAATCTCACCACTTTGAGAGGTTGAGGTAGGAAGGTTGCCTGGGTTGAGCCCAGCCTGGGCAACATAATGAGATCTTGTGTCTACAAAAAGCCAAAAAATTAGCTGGGTATGGTGGCATGCACCTGTAGTCCTAGCTACTCCAGAGGCTGAGGCAGCAGAACTGCTTAAGCCTAGGAGTTTGAGGCCCGTGGTGAGCTGTGGTCATGCCACTGTACTCCAGTCTGGGCAACAGAGTGAGACCCCCAACTCAAAAAAAGTTTGTAATTGGCATGTAATAATTTTACATATTTATAGGGTACAGAATGCTATTTCAATACATATATACAATGTGCAATGGTCGAATAAGGATAATTAACATATTAATCAACTCCAACATTTATCATTTTTTTGTGTTGGGGAACATTCAAAATCCTCTATTTTAGCTATTTAAAAATATACAGAGAAGCAACGTGGAGGAGACACGAGTGACCTGAGAGCACAGCCGTCACCATAAGTCTCCTCAACATGCCCAAGAGTGAGATGACCCCAGAGGAGCTGCAGAAGCAGAAAGAAGAAGAATTTAACATGGGTCCACTCTCTGTGCTCACACAGTCTGTCAAGAACAACACCCAAGTGCTTATCAACTGCCACGACAATAAGAAACTCCTGGGCCATGTGAAGGCCTTTGACAGGCACTGCAACATGGTGCTGGAAAACATGAAGGAGATGTGGACCGAGGTCCCCAGGAGTGGTAAGGGCAAGAAGAAGTCCAAGCCAGTCAACAAGGACCACTACATCTCCAAGATGTTCCAACACAGGGACTCTGTCATTGTGGTCCTGGCGAACCCGCTCATCGCTGGCCAGTAGGGGCCTCCTCTTGCCAATAGAGCTTGCTCCCCTGCCCTATGAAGACCTGCCCTTTATGATGGGAATAATAAAGTCCTGTGTTAAAAAAAAAAGAAAATATGCAATAAACTATTGTTAACTGTAGTCATCCTACAGTGCTATAGAACACTAGAACGTATTCTTCTTATCTAGCTCTAATTTTATATCTGTAAACCTCTTCCTCCCTACCATTCCCAGCCTCTAACAACCACAATTCTATTCTCTATTTCTATGAACTCAACTTTTTTTTTTTTTTGAGTTGGAGTCTCACTCTGTCGCCCAGACTGGAGTGCAGTGGCCGCTCCCGGCCACCGCAGCCTCGACCTGCTGGGCTCCGGCGATCCTTCCGCCTCAGCCTTCCGAGTAGCCAGAATTACAGGCATGCCCTACCACACCCGGCTGATTTTTTGATTTATTGTAGAGATGAGGTCTTGCTGCCCAGGCGGGTCTCAAACCCGCGGGCTCAGGCAATTCGCTCACCTCAGCCTCCCAAAGGCACGGGATTACAGGCTGAGCCACCGAGCCCGGCTGAACTCAACTTTTTTGAAATTAAAATTTTTTTTTAATTTTAGAGGCAGGGCCTTGCTGTGTTGCCCAGGCTGGAGTATAGTAGCTATTTACAGGTATGATCATAGCTCACTGCAGCCTCAAACTCCTGGGCTCAAGCGATCCTCCTGCCTTAGCCACCTGAGTAGCTGGGACTATAGGCACATACCATCCCACCAAGCTCAACTTTTTTAGCTCCCACATGAGTGAGAACATGCAGTATTTATCTTTCTGTGCCTGACTTATTTCACTTAACATAATGTCCTCCAGTCTCATCCATGTTGCTGTAAATAACAGAATTTCCTTTTTTATTATGACTGAGTAGCATTTCATTGTGCAAATATAACACATTTTCTTTATCCACTAAGTGTTGATGGACACTTAGGTTGATTCCATATCTTTGCTATTGTGAATATTGCTGCAATAAACATGGGAGTGCAGATATCTCTTCGATACACTGATGTCCTCTTCTTTGGAGAAATACTTTGAAAATGCTATTTCTACTGGTGCCATTGAGCCTATTACCAAGGACCTAATGCAAAACTATCTAAAATGCATTATTGGTGGTATACAGCCTATAGGAAATTAGCCTTGTTCTCAAACATCACCTCAGAACTACCACAATATTTTCTTTTCTGTCATTAATTTGAAATCGCTCTGACTCTGCGTTATTCAGTTTTTCCAAAGTAGTGAACAATAAATTAATATTTGAAATTGTATGACGTAAAGGAATGGGCCTATATCAATTTCCTAGAAATAAAATATTAGGGCTTATTTTAGTATAAAAGCAATGTATACACAGAGAATACCAGAAGAATTTGAAAAAGTAGAACAAAGAGAAGAAAAGTATCTATACTTCTACTGCACAAGAAAACAGCATTACATTTTAGTTTATTTTCTTCCAGTCTTCTTAATATGTACAGGTTTTGTGTTTTCATTATCATCATAAGCACATTCTATGTTATTGTCTCTTATTGGACATCATCATCTCAATAGCAATGAAATGCCAGTGAGTAGATACACCACTGTTTATCGAGTTCCCTATGTTTGGATACTTCCCTCTATTTGCTGCTATTATAAATAATACCCAGCAGAATTTAGTTTGCATTATAGAGTGTTTCCCCTCTGTTCTTTCCCAACAATTGTTAATCCCCACTCATGATTGGGGATAGACCCAACACCCCATAGATAATGGATTTCTATCCCTGTCTTCCACACATACTGAGTGCTGCTCTGTGTCAGGCACCTTGTGGGAGCCAATGGTGAATAAGACACAGGTCCTCTCTGTAAGGAGCTTGGGATCTGGAAATGGGACACAGACCTGAAATCCACAAATAACAGCAGCCCACTAAGAGAGCTCTACACAGGGTATTATGAAAGCACAGAGGAGCATGTCTCTGACTCTAGTTAGGGAAAGGTTCTAGAAGCATGAGTAAGAATTTTCCAGACAGATGGTACAGATAAAATAAATAAGAAAATAAATCAGGGTAATATGGCGGCAATGAGAGGAAAATGACAACAGAAGATAGAGTGGACAGGGACGGCCTCTCTGGAGAGGTGACATGTTTGACCTGAGACCAGAATGCAAGAAGTTTCTGGCCATTCAATGACCTAGTGGAAGAGTGTTTATGGCAGAAAACAGCAAGTACCAGGGAGAATTGAGTGCTCTCAGCTGGTTCATGCTGTGAATGACATGAGAGAAAGGGAAAGTAGCAGAACTGACATCAGGGAACAAGAGAGGAAAGTAAGTGGGTCTCATGAAAGGATTGCAGGGTAGGTTTGTGAACCCAGCTGATGTTGGAGAACATGAATCAGGAGTGGCACCAATGTATATGGTTGCAAGACTTTTTCAACAGGGCTTAGTGGCCGTAGTGAGTAGAGAAGGCAGATGGTTGGCTTGATATGTTGTTGGAGATGGTAGAACAAATGTAACAAAAAGACAAGTGGAATATACTGGGATTGGAGAGTTTATGGTGCACTCTAAGGTCTAGGCTAGGTAAGAAAAGTGTACAAGCTAGGAAGGTTGAGAAGAGGCAGGTGTGATGAACAGGCAGACAACTGAGGCCCTGGGGAGTGGAGGCCTACGAGAATTTACAGAGCAGATGTGATTGATAGAAACAAGGTAGAGGGAAAGCCACAAGGACAAAGGATAGGACTCTGAGAGTAAAATATGGGCTTAAGAAAGTCGAGTTCCCACAGTTTTGGGTGATGTCAAGTCCATTGCTAAGGTGAAACGGAGTTGATGGTTAAAGAGGAAATCGAGGATGTGTGGAATAAGATAGGGTGTTAGGATTTCATCAAATTAAAACCCTTTGTGCTTCAAAGCACACCATAAATAAAGTGAAAAGATAGCCCACAGAATGAGAGAAAATATTTGAAATAATTTATCTAATAAGGAACCTCTATCCAAAATATATAAAGAACTCAGACAACTCAATAATTAAAAGATAAACAATCCAATCAAAATGGGTGAAAAATCTCAGACATTTATTTTTTAATTTTTAAAATTTTTTTCAGTAGCTTGAAAAAACACTTTAGACATGTCTTAATAGATGATAAGCAAATTACCAATATGTACATAAAAAGAAGCTCAACATCATTAGCCATCAAGGAAATGTAAATGAAAACCATGACAAGATACCACTAAAATAGCTGTAACCAAAAGACAAATAAACAAGTGTTGGTGAGAATGTGAAGAAATTGGAGCCCTCATGCACTGGTGGGGGGGAATGTAAAATGGCGTAGCTACTTTGGAAAACAGTTTGGCAGTTCCTCAAAATGTTAAACAGAGAGGTACTATGTGACCCAGAAAGCAATTTCACTCCTAGCTATATGCCAAGAGAAATGAAAGCATATGTTCATCCAAAAACTTGTACACAGGTGATCATAGTAGCATTACTCAATAGCCAAAAGTGGAAATAACCCACATATCCATCAACTGATGAATGAATAAGCAAAATATGCTATATCCATACAATGCTACAACAGGGATGACTCTTGGAAACATCATGCTAAGTGAATCAAGACATTCACTAAAGACTACATATTATATGATATGTGATTCTATTTATATGATATGTAAATGAGGTCTCTAGAATAAAGGTCTCTAAGACAATGTTTTTTAGACTGGAGGTCACAACATATTAGTGAGCTATGAAAATGATTTACTAAATTGTGGCCTGTATTTTTAAAAGAAACAGAATGGAAAATAGTAGAGTGTATTGCCCATAGCAAGAGTAAACATTTTCACAAAACTTTTGTTTAAACTATATATATGTATGTATTATGACATGATTTTATTGTAGGTCTCAATAAAAAAAAATAGGAGGCACTCCTGTACCATATCCTCTGGTTCAAAAATTTATGACTATACTGTCATTCTTCTCTGAAGCATTGCTCATTCTATTGGATTAAGAGTCATACATTGTGAATATAAGACTTTTGATAGTTTGTACTAGTAATAGCATAGCACTTCTAAAAAGCCATTTGTTAAGTTGAAATGAAACATTAATTTAGTTTCTAAGGTATAAATCAAACATTAATTGAATTTCTTAAGTACAAATAACCATTAATTTAATTTCCTAAGAACAAATTAAACAATGGTTGCAGCCTATATTAAAATGTTTTTCAGCCTCTAAGATGCATCCACAATTATGACTCTTTCTAATTATTTATTATTAAGAAACCTAGGAAGTCAATGTTTAGTTATGTGGCAAAATGCATGTCTTTGATTTAATTTCTTTTCCTGTGAGCTATTTCAAAACAGTTTAATTCTAAAATTTCTTGTGTGTGCCCAGCACATCAAATGCATTTAATGATTCTTTTATTTGGCAAGTGTGTGTGTTGGAAAGTAGAGAGGCTCTGGAGCCAGTCAGGTCGCAAGGAATCCTGACTCTGTAGTCTACTAGCTATTTGATGTTTGGCAAATTGGTGTATTGAGGTCTTGGCTTCCTTGGCTCTAAAATGGAGAAAATAATATTAGGTGGAATCTTATGAAATTGCCATTTGTAGAATTCAAAAATGGTCACATATCAGCAATTTCATATGGTTCAACCTAATAATAACTTTACAGGATGGTTGTGAGAATCCAACGGGATAATATTTGTTTAATACTTGGCATAATACTTATTAAATGTAAGTATTCCCTTTGATAAAGGTGAAAAATACTAACGTCAATGTTTAATTTTCTTTTTTACTGTCAGCATATACATTGGACCATTGCACATTATGTACTTACTAACCTTATGTCTTGCTTTGTTCCAGAAAGGGTTTAAAGAGACTGTTTTGCACATACTAAATAAATATTTGGATACTAGTGAGTTAATGTTTCTGTTTAGTTGTGGTTTTGTTTAGTTGGTCATTTACGTGTTATAATTTCCTAACTTACTAGAATTTGATCAAATGCTAGAGAGCTTTTGAACTCATGTTTTCCAAAAGAGGGTGCAACAATGTCTTTTCTTGTGCTTCTGTAACTGGTTGTTTTTTCTTGCCAGCCAGCCCATACAGTAGTATCT